CGAATTTTTTTTGATCAAAAATATTATTTCTGCGCCAATATAATCAAGTACTGTAGACCCCATTAGTCCTATTTTAGTAACCGATAGACCATCACTTGCATTTTATAATCAAACTAGAGACATGACCATGTAGACTGCTTCGCCGCCCATCAGTTGTTAAAGATAGTAGATTTGATTGTTTTATTTTTATTTTATTCCGGAAAGAAAATTTTCTTTAGGTATCTTTGTCATTAGATGTTTCGTCTTAAATTTAATGCACTAACTTTGGCCCCCTCTAGGGTCAAAGCTGATGCAGAAATTTAAAGTCTTTATTTATTATGTGAAACGATCATTACGTATATTGATAAATGAACATACTGCACATTTTCAGAATGTGGCGATGTTGCTGTACCGATAGAATGACAACAAATCACATAAATTTGGTGTTGATCAGGGTGATCCTTTCGATATAGTTCTTTCGCTATGATCTTTTAAAGGGTTAATTAAAAAATGTTCGCCACATCAAAATTACTAAAAACTTAATTTTGTGCTACTGTACTGCAAAAATCGGGACCACATGTGTGTGCATCACATGTTTCCATTTCAGTCCACTATAAATGGAATCATGCATACCGTATCCAAATAGTTAAAATTATAACCAAGTTACGCTTAAAAAAGCGCACATATCAATGTACAGTACGTACGTACGCACCTACTGTAGCTTTGAAATCATTACTACAAATATTCCAAAGTCCTCGAATATTATAATGGAACAAATATTTGCACCAGAATATTTTGATATTATTTTTAGATTTCTTCCGACTAATAAAGATTTGCATTCTTGTCTGTTGGTTAATAAACATTCGGCTACTTGCGCCGTTCCAATTTTATGGGAAGCTCCCTTTAAAATTAAGGACAAGTGTATTCCATCTCCCAAAGTGATAGAATCTATCTTGCATTTATACCAAATAGTACTTTTCTCAAATTAGGATATAATAGAAGAATTGGACTGTCGCTTACTAGACTTCTTTTCTTTAACTATCCATCATTTCTTAATGAGCTTTCATATGATCATTTCTTTGTGCAGCAATAGCAAAAAAAATGCTGTAACAATATTATAATTGAATTATTTAAGATATTTGTTATGCATCAAGTAAGATTACGCAGACTTGATATTTATAACTGTCATCAATATTATCCTGAACCCCTAAATAATTTAGGATCATTATTTCTCCCTCATTTTTCTGAACCCCTAAATAATTTAGGATCATTATTTCTTCCTCAATTTTCTGAATGCACTTCTAATGTCCAGTGCAAAAAAACACAACCTTTTAATACCATAGCGAAAAACTGCCATAATATTGAAAACCTTAAAGCTAGTATTTATTATGAA